TGTTGCTTTTTTTTTTTTTTTTTGGGGCCTTTGAGGCAGTGTTGACTCCTTGGGACTGCCTGGGTGGGTCCCTGCAGTTTTCTTGGCAAGGTTTTTCAGAAGTCATTTGCCATTGCTTTCTTCTAAGGCTGAGAGAGAATGACTGGCCCAAGCCCACCCAGCTGGCTTTGTGCCTAAGGCCGGACTAGAACTCACAGTCTCCCAGTCTCTAGCCTGGTGCTTTAACCACTACACCAAACTGGCTCTCCCCCTCTTGCATATAGTCACTGTTAAATCATAATCAGTGATCGTACATCATTGTGAGTCTTTTGTAGCACAATGGATCTCAAATGACTATTAGTGCCAAATATACCCAATTAATTGCCTTTTTCTTTTCTTTTTTTAACTATTATAGCTTCTTATGCAGTTTACAAGCAACTATCAAACTCTTAGAAAATCCACTTTGTTTTTTCAAAATATATTTAATTACAATCCTTCTGATCCCAGAAGGACCAGGGTAAAAAGTATGCATTCCAAGGATATGTTGTGGGCAGCTTTAGAACTACAAAATTCAAACCTTTCCATTCCTCTGACATATTCCAGGAACAATGGGAAAACTATTCAGCCCTGGAACTGGCATAGCAAAGACAATTTTTAATTGATGATGATGATGATAATTATAAAGGAAATATTAAGCCCTGCTCTTCATCCCTGCTAGCACAAGTCCTGCAAAACATGAGAATTCCTCCAATACTTTTCCTCTTCCCACACTGAATTGCTTTTAAATCATGCTGTGTTAACTTTTTTTGTATAAATTGCTAGTTTAATAATCAGAATATTGCTGAATTAGCATAATTTGATTACAACATGGTCCATCATAATTTTACTGGCAAGCTGGTAAAATTGAAAGCGAGATCATGCTAACATGTATTGATGATCTATACCTGAGTTCAGGTAACACCCTGAACCACACGATAATCTTACCTTATTTTAACTAGCAGAAGCCCAACCACTGTGGTTAGTTACTTAATTCCATGTGTTGTACAAATCCGGGAAATTGGATTGAGTAAATTACAAGTAAGTGTGTTATGTAAATATAGCTTATATCAAAAGAATGTTGATCAGTAGCTTCTTTTCAGCCTCAAGAGAAGAGGACAGCTGTGGAACTTTGTCTTGGTCTCAGAGTTGTTCAGCACAGAAGTGATGCTTAGCCACTACTGACTGGGTTTATTCAGGGCAAGTGGGTTATAAATATCAATAAATAGTTTTGTAATTTATACTAAACTGAAAGGGATAGCTTATAAAAAAAAATATCAATATAAGCTTGACAGGATAGAAAACTAAATTAAATCTAAATGATAACATTTTGTATGTAATTAGGCAAAATGAAATACATAAAAATAACTGATATCTTACTTGACAGCCTTACATATAAAAAAGATCCAAATAAACTCCATGTAATAATATACTATAGATGTTAAAAGACCTAAAGCAATTCATACATACTTAATGTTCAGTTAGAAAAAAAAAACTATTTTAGCAGATCTTACATGCTGTAACCCATTGGATAGAAAGTGACCACTCTATACACGAAATGTAGCATAGAGAGAGATGTGTGTGCTGCTTTTAAATTAGATTTGAAAACAGGATCTCATCAAATTATAACAAAATGAAATCGTTACGGGTAGTCCTCAGGTTACAATGGCAATTGGGATCAGAGTTGGTGTTGCTAAATGACATGGTCGTAAATGCAACGTCATGTGACCATATCTCTTAGTGACATCAATTCTGGCAGTCCCAGTTGCTTTCGTTAAGTGAGGACCTCACATGACCGCAACTTCTGACCTCCCCATTGACCTTGCTTGTGGGAAGCTGGCAGGAAACATTGGAAATTGTGGTCACATGACCATGGCTTGCTGCAACATCATAATCATGAGCTGGGCACCAAGTAGCAATCACGTGACCATGGGGATGCTATGGCGGCCAGAACTCCAAGAACCCATCGTAAGTCCCCCTTGTTCAGCATTATTGCAATTTTGAATGGTCACAGAA